GACAGAACAGAAGATTAAAAGGACAAAATAAAATGTTGTTAACCAGAACAAAATTAAAGGACAACGTGAAAGCACCAACGTTTAAGCACCCATCAATTAAAGTACATCACATACACACGCACAAAAGGGTTTAACAATAGACCATAATTGTGACACAACAAAATGAAACAACTCAACATAAGGCCATTCTTCGCGCGTACTAATACGTTCAAATACAGTTTCTTTCCGAAAATTATTGTCTACTGGAACGAACTACCAGGTTCGGTTCGTGAACTGAATATGTCAGATTTTTTGGAGGCACTGGAATTACATTGTTGTCCTTTTTTGTGTGTACCTGGTTGTGCTTAGAATGTGGCGATAATTGTCGTGATTTTTTTTTCTGATGAAGAACTTGTTTTGATGTTACTCATATTCTTTCCTACTGTATGTACCCCACTCCTGCAATAGCCCTGCATTGGGCTGCAGTATTTGAAAATAAATAAATAAAACTACAAGTGCAAACCCTTTAATAGTATTCGAAGACTTCAACGTACACATAATAGGCCTTAAGATGTATACCATATTTTTGTCGTCGACTCTCACTCTCCACTGTCAAGTACATAAAAAACCACTGCTGCCCCGCCGCGGTGGTCTAGTGGCAAAAGTACTCGGCTGCTGACCCGCAGGCCGCAGGATCGAATCCCGGCTGTGGCGGCTGCATTTTCGATGAAGGTGAAAATGCTGTAGGCCCGTGTGTTCATATTTGGGTGCACGTCAAAGAACCCCAGGTGGTCGAAATTTCCGGAGCCTTCCACTACGGCGTCTCTCATAATTAAATTAGTAATTTTGGGACGCTAAACTCCACATATCAATCAGGAAACCATTGCTATACTCGGCGACAACTTTCTCTGGCAGCACAGCCAAGGCTACGAAGCCCAAGCACGCCCTTTTTTACTACGCTTCCGCATGTAGTCCCCGAACGCTAACTTTTGTATATTTCGTAGCATGATGAGAAATATAAAAAAGACAAAAGGTAAATATTTTGTTCAAGATTGTTCGAGTTAATATTAGAAATAATCACCCGTGGATGTTTTTTTTTTGCTGTTTCTATAGTTTTCTAATGCCATTTCACCTTTTCCCTGCCCCGGTAAACAACGATGGCGTCGCTCGGTTGTAGCAAGTTCACATCGAAGCTTGTGAGCGAGCATCAGCGCGTGTTCATTAGGTGATCTGTCATCGAGCAGGGAGAAACGAACGCAGTGGTGCGTCGTGAAATATTTTGTTTCCCACGCATGCAATCACCGAGAAGTTTTGTGCCAGTGATATAATCAGCGAAAGCGGGATTCTAACCGCTATAGCCGCCTTGAAAGTGACACCGGCGACCTGCTAGTCTTTAGAAATGCCAGCTGTTTGGAAGAAAAAGTGCGATTGGAAACTGTACGTAAAACCAATGACCATTTTTCTAAATTGCATTGCATACGTGGTCGGTGCTTCGGCTGCCTAACATTATTGATACGATAACACTAAAGATCGCGTACCATAACACCGCTCCCCTTGGCGTCTACAGAGTTCCTTGCGCTTTGCCTGGGTAACAGACGCGTCCATGCATGTATATATTACCCTGTTGGCTTAAAAAAGAAACAGCGTTCTTGATCGAGTAAATATTGCCGTTTCACCCACTTGGATATACGAACGTCAGACGACAGCTAATGATCGATAGGTGTCAAGATTCCTGGTTCCCCACTCGTTGCCTTCGCGTCCCCTAAAGGAATGTGAGCTTCTCCAGAAAGTTTGCGTCTCTAAAGGAAGGAAAACAATGATGCCGACCAAGTATGCACTGAAATTCAGGAAATGATTTTTTTGGCTTTGCGTTTTTTGCCCTGTATCTGCTCGGCCATATACCTTTTTGTCTGAAATAAATCTCAACTCTTCAAAGAACCGTCGTGTTATTTCCCATAAAAAATATTTTATACATTTTCTCTCAAATAAATGTAAGATTTATTGCATGGTAGTCATGCGAAAAAGTACATGTTGGATGTGCTTGTGAATCCGAAACCGAAATAAAACGAAAACGAAGACTACTTGGCGTAGTAACACCTGTGCAGAAGCTTCACCAACGTAGCTTTGGTTGTGCTGCAACAAAAAGTTGCCGCCGAGCATATAGTCGGAACAATAAGTGTGTATGTGAATAAAAGAATGTTTACAATGACGAACATTAACCGTAATTATGACAGTGCGATACAATGCACCTACCTACAAGGAAAAAAAAAAAACTTTTATTCCAGTCAGCGACTTCAACATAGTCCTAACGTAGACATTTAACGCCGACTAGCACCACTGAAGAGCGGCTTCCTCGATTAGCTTCGGCAGCGGCGCAGCTGCAGATACCAGAGACGTCGCGCTCGGCTCTTTGTCGCCGTTCCAGATATCGCGATCCCGCTGCGCAACTTTCGGCTTCGCTGTACACACTTGAGCCTTCGCCACATGAACAGCGCTCTCGCAGTTCGAATCAGTGAGGGGCAGTGCAGCACGGCTTTTATCGCAGTGCCAAGAGAACCGAAGATGACGTAAGCATTTCCACGCCCGCACTTTCGGCGAGCTTGCGCGGGCGGAGCAAGACAAATGCTTCTTCCGCTTATTCTGAAGCTGCTGCTGTAACAACCACGAAAAAAAAAAAAAAAATAACGACACCGCCAACAATAATGTCGGTCCTTGCTAACCACGGAGTTCTATCGAATTTTAAAGTTCATGTTATTATAAAGGACCCCTAAGCCACTTGTTTGAAGAGCGGTCTCTTTCTCGCCTACACTGCTCTTCCTACAGGAGTGAGTGAGTGAAACGACGTTATTAGGTCCACAAGAGACGCGAGTTAACTCAGCGTCACTTGGCTAGGTCCACTCGGAGACGGTCCTCGCGCGGGCCTTCTAGACGGCCAGGATTTCTTCTCGACAAGTACTTCTTTGTAGAACACGTGGGCAATTTCAGCACCAAGTGTTGAGCCTATCGGTATTTCACTCTTCTCTGCTACACGCTGTTATCTCTGCTTGAGCAGTTGAGAATACACGAAACAAGCAAAATTCGTCCACGCACGATAGCCACGCGAGACAAGGCTGGACAGGCGTGCGACTGCATGGCCAGTGGATTAAAGAGCGCACTCTTTCATCCAGCGGCCGTGGCACGGCAATGCAGGGTAGGAGACGAATCACGACGATATCTTCAGTATATGGACTAAACGAGTGTGCCGCATAACATGACGTCACATGTCACGTGAAATGACGCCACAAATTGCACTGAAAAGAAGGGAAACGCCAGGAGGGAACGACGCGCTCGTTCTGTGCATTTTCAAAGGTTGTTTAGGTACAAAGGTGTTTAGGCATGACCGAAACATTGCACACGAGTTTTAGACTGCATGTTCACCATGAACAGATAGCTTGCGTCTATTCACTTTGGCGCATGTCAAATTCGATCGGTACATGATCAAAATGTGGTGAGCCTAGCTTATACTTCACTCACTGGTTCAAACCTAAATGCATTGTATAGAATTAAAATTTTTATACGGTGTTGCATGGCTGCTTAAAAGTGATACCATGGCCCTTTAGGACCATGGTAACACTGAGAAATACGAATATATTTTTTTAAAGTTTAATACATATGGAGAAGCGACTTCAAATATTTTTAACAAATTATATATTCAGATTTGACATAGAAAAAACACAATCACGCAATTGTAAATGCCGTAGTGAATTAACATTTGATCGTTTACTTTCATTATTGCACAATAAGAGGCATATGTATTCTGTACTGTTCAGCATTAAAACTTGTTTCTGAAAAAACAACAACAACAATTCAAGGTCTGAAAGTATTCTGAATAAAAAAGTCAATTTGACCGCAAGGGTAAGTCAACGAATGCGATATCAACAAAGTGTATTGTTGCACGGCGTAAGATAGGCAATGAACCCTTTTAGTCTGCAGGCCCTCTTAACTCTACAAAACGCAGGTGAAAGAGAATACGGCCACTCTATTGGGTGAAGCGAATTTCGCAGTCTTCGCGTTCAGGGCGCGGCACGAAAGGTGTACGAGCCATGCTCTTATGCCTGTCGTTTTCTTTGAGTTAGCCGGCAGTAGTTAAGCTATGGATAAACATACAAACTTACATAACTCACCGTTCTATAGCAGCTCATTTTAGCGACACCTGACGGCGGTCGGGCAACGCAGCGACCGGATCGCAAAGCAACTAAGGGCGCGTCGTCCAGCCTCAGATGTCGAGTGGCGGTAAGTCAAACGAAAGCACGGAAAAGTGAGCAATACAAAAATTGAGCTCCTTCTTTGAATACCGAGTCACAGAACTGCGCCCACGAGAGATTACGTGGGTCTGCCCTTAAGCGCATTACTTTCTTATCCCTCAGTGAAGTGCTGCGCTTTCCACAATCGAAGCCTCGTTACGCTGGCAAGTCGGGGCGGCCGGCGCTAAAGCATCGGCGCACGAGGACAATAGGGCCGCCGCAGCGCATGCAGCCAATATGGATCAATGGTGTCCGCTGATTGCTCGTTGTCGTTTTGCGGTTCGAGTGGTCAAGGAAACTGCGGCAACCTATTGGCGAGTGTACGAATCGCGGACGCGGTACATTCAAAGGCAGCTCAATCTAGCCATTACAAATCGGAACAGGCTTCTTCCAGACGTTTGTAGACTGCCGTTGAAGAGCCCGTATAAGACACTTTGTCATCGGCGACTACGTCCGCATCAGGAAGTCGTCAGTTTTCTCGGGAACATATCACCGTAATTTTGGGAACTGAAGAAGATCATTGAGAAATGAGGGCCAGCCTCATTTGGAAAACGCTCGAGTGTGAAACGCTTCCAAATTTCAGGCGATACACCCAGAAGCTACGTAGAGGTTGAGAAGCAATCGATCTTGTACAGTTGATTACACTCTACCCAGGTCGGGCAAGCCTCTTCAAGGTAGTGCCTTTTATGTAAGTGAACAGCACGCCAACTATTCACCTACGCCACGACAAAAAATTGATGCATTGTAAAACATTATATTATAACCACAACATCCGATGCCTTAGCCGTTTCTAGGTGAACACTTGCGTTTTTATGTGACTAACGGCCGCAGATAAAGTCGATTGCTTGTATACGAATCAGCCATACTAGCTAACCACGCACACCAACAATAACATACTGCCAGATGAAAAAGAAAAGCCGAGACAGTCTGGCCTTGAACCAGCCGAGTGCTGAACACCTCCTAAAGTCACTTTCGCCGCAGTACACCACTGTCATGCGAAAAAGCGCTCAAGAGTGTGAAGACGCTACCAGTTGTAACAGGGCACAAATTATTTCACCCTGAATTACACAGCCACACTCATATTTTATAACGATGAATACCAGTATAGTCACTGACGTCTAAAAACTTTATTTCCAATCGTGGAGAGCTGCCTATGATGTTGCTGCGGCCCTGAGAATCAATAAACATCACAACACAAGTTGGTATGATCGAGAACTTCTGATAATTCAAACAAGATTCTGAGGTTCCACCGAGATTGAATTATCGTGTCTACTGCACACGTAAACATACTGTCTTGTAAAACAACTGCAGCAAGTGAAAGATGACCATCCATAATAGTGCAGTTGGCCCTGGATCAATACTGCTTTAGGCATGCTGTCATAAACATGACAAGCTCAAGGCTTTAAATATGTATTTACAGTGCCAACAGTCAAAATCCCGCAGACAGCCCACCCTATAAGTTCATTGTGTGGCAACCAGAACTAGTGTTATAATTACTGCAAGTAACGACAGTTTCAAGAAGTGCATGTAGTCGATTTAGCCAGAATTTCAGTCTGAACGCTTAGTGTTCTGAAGCTTATCTCTTTGTGCATTTAGCCTAGCACTGCTGGCACGATTATAGTCTATAAAAAGCTGGATATCACGAGGGACTGGCGTTGGCTTGGAACTAGGATCAACATCTAGCGATGCCAGCAAGTCATTCAGTGTCCCGTCCACAAGCGTCATTTTTACCAAGCATACTGCTCGAACAAAATTGTCGTTGACTGTGATCATCTGCTGTTCAATAAAGATATCTCTGTCTTCCCAGTGCACAACCTGCAAAAAAGAAGACAGTATAGAAAAGATAGGTTGAATCAGTTGCATGCTGCATGTCTTCATAATGAAACAGTCTCCCTGATTACTACATCCAGGATAGAAATAAAAAGTCTGCACTGCAAAGAGTACCCCATTTCCTGGGGGAAGCTCTTCCCGTACACCACAAATTTTATAATAGTAGTAAATTTATGCACTTTAATACAAAAATTCTCAAAACAAATACATAAAAGATGTATTTCCTTGGGGGGCTAATATGGGAAGCATTTTGAAAGAAATGGTGCAAATTTAGATAAAGACAATTGTAGTTGTAGAAGCAAAAAATAGATAAAATCAATTAGCTGTATTTCTGAAATAAAATTATGCCAACTGCAGTGTCATTTTTGTAAGCAATGTGAGATTAAATGTATCAAATTTCAATAGTCTCTAACCAGACCTCATTGCAAAGTTTTGTTAAATGCTGCAAGTTATCAGTCACCAATTAAAGAGTGACTGATACAAAGAGAATAAGATATACAAGGAGAATGAGATACAAAGAGATACAAATGAGATATAAACAATGAGATACAAAGAATGCGACCTGAACTATTTCTCAAACTGGCTCAATGCTGGAGAAGATTATTAACACTGAACTGCATTTTTTAATGATTACACTACAAGAGAGGCTTCCCTGTCAATGTAAACACTTCCCCCTTTGTTTGACTATTACTCACAACCAGTGTTCTTTCAGTGGCTACTCCCACAGAAAGCCTAAAAACCAAACCATCTTCAGGTGACACCGATGCAACGAACCCTCTCCATGCCCTTTTGATCTAATTTAGTAACACTTATTATTTTATTATTTATTAAAAAATATAAAAATAATAATATGTAGTAAAGCCTTCAATGCATGTTGCACCTCATTGATTCTGGGTACAAACTGTAGCTAGGCCAATGCTTTCTACATGGGGCTTAAGAGGTCCTTAGGCACTTTTCTCAACTCCAAGACTGGAATCGGGTCCTTGTCATCTGCATGAAGATGACAGACCTTACTCCTACTGCATCAGAACAACAATTAAAAGTACATTTGGATGAATGACTCATTTAGATCAACCAGTTCTGATGGTTCTCTGGTTATGCCAACAATTGGAACTCAAGATTGAAGACAATACATGTCACAACATCTATGGTACTAAAACTCATGGCTTTGCCTATTACATTCCTATTCAGTGATACGTGGAGTGTGGGCCATATTTTCAAACGCATAACAGGCATCGAAGTGTATGCACTTAGTTTTACAACTTGAATTTAATGAATGCTTGATGCGAGAAATTCTCCAACTTTGGCAACATGTTAAAGGGGAATGTCACAACGGTGACGTCCAGTGGTTACCTCAACATTGCGGTATCAATGGCAATAATTTTGCAGATTAAACTGCTAAGGTCTCAAATTAAGGACAGCACAGCATAGCCATTCTGTTTTCGAGGACAGATGCTAAAAACTAGCTTCACTACCTGACACACAATCTCACTTTGGCAATGTGTAACATCCAAAATAAAAGGCACATGGGGCTACACCAACTGAACCCTTCACAGGGGCTCTAGATTTATTCTTGACTTCATCAATCTGAAGCAACACTTCTCTGTTAGCTTTCGTTGGGGACTGACTTCTTGCAGACATACACTACACCAACTCGAATGAACAACCGTGCTACATGTGATACTAATGATAGCAAAGGAAAAAAAATTATTTAGCCACTGTCCTGAATTTGAAACTAAAAAAACTGTGACTTTCTAACATGTGGGAACTGGACGATTCTGCACATTCCCTGAAGTCGCTACTGAAACTCCATCCACATCACTTGACAGCCTACCATGCAGAGATGAGAAAATGTTGTACAGGGAATCTCACTGGGCTTCGGTGACATTCTGTGATTGATGATTTCTCATCACTTCTATCCTTCATATTTCCTGCAAGGCCAGTGCCAGGGGGGGGGGGGGGAATCGGGAAAATATTTATCCTCCCATCTCCCCGGAAAAGACATATTCGAAGCACAATAAATAAGTTCTCAGTTTCCTTGCCCTCCTAATGAAACTCTGTTGTCGTGAATTCACTCCAAGTGCCAGATATCCAGGTGCCACCCCTGCTTCCCAGGAAGATTCGTCTTGTGCAAGCATTATGTGCCTCTACAAGAGGACTGGCCTGTGTTAATGTTTTTGAAACATTTGCATGCACATTTTTCTAAGATTTCTACTCTCTCAACTTTGCTCCTTTGTTCATTCAGCACTGCCCTTGCCCCCACCAACTAGAAACCTTCGTGCTTTTGCCTTTTTCTTTTTTCCATCCTTGCCAACTTCTTGCTTCTTTCTTTTTATTATACCTGCACTTGAATGAAAAAAAAATGATTTATTTGTTTTGTGTCTTTGAAGGCTTCATTGCATCTTGGCAATGTGTGCTTGTAAATAGTCAGTGTTTCATTTGTATAGATATATGAAATGTACACAGCTATGTTCATTATGTAAGTGACTATGTGACAATTACCTGAAATTTTTCTGTGTTCTTTCATTCTACACATAAAGCTTTCCAATGCAATAAAACTGAAAAGACTTTTTTGTCCCTGAACAAGTGATAAGGCCACTGATCTCAGTAATGCGCAGATGAAAAAATAGGGCGAGAAGAAGTCAACCTGCCTTGGAATGGATTTCGAAAGCCTGAAAAAGTGTGACCGGCCTTCGATAGCGCACCACTTGAGCACTGATGAGCAGATGAGCTTTCAAGACCCTTGCATTACGCCACAGTCCGTTCTTTATACCAAACGCAGCTCGGCCAAACTCGAAGGCACGGAGATACTTAACATTGTTCATGTGAATCATGTGGTCAAGATCACTGAGTGAGCACATTCCTGTAAAATAACACAAACATATGAAATGCAACATTAATGCAACATTATATATTAGACTACAGAATGAAACACATCAACACTATGAAATGAAATTTTACTTCGCACTTATTTGGCTTCCTCCTCAAGGTATCGTACGTACAGTGCTTAGGATATACTATGAAGTCGAAAAGTGCTGCTGACTAGGCAAGTCGGTGCATGATAAATAGATATCGCTTTAGCGCACCTCAGTTTGAGCATAAAGAAAAGATGCTATACGATCAAGAAGGAAAAAAAAACAGATGACAGTATGAGCGCTACCTTCCAACTTTTGGTTATTGCTTGTCCCTACAGCTCATTATATAGCTCACCTTGCTGCACACGTGACGCCGCTCAAATGACCAACCCTAAAATGTGTGGCGCAGCACACATTACCAAGGAATCTAGTTGTAAGGCGATACCAAATTATCCTATACCAATACTTCACAGCCCGGCCCCCGCCCCCCCCCCAAATTGAGCTCTTTTTCAGATAAGGCTATGTACGGATGGTACACTCACGCACAGCTTCGCACATTGTGTGATAGTGTTTGCTTGAATAATTTCTCGCTTCAATTGAATACAATTGTGACTCAAGATGACACACTGGCCAAAGGATAAAGTGCATGCACATGTCTTACAATGCAAACACACCTACCAGTCTGTCCTATGTAAACCGCGCCACACAACTTAAGGAACATGTAGACGACAGCCAGCTAGAGAACATTCAACAAACTTAGCTACATGCTTTTTTCAAAGCTGATAAAATGAGGCATTGCCAGGCTGTGTTTTAGGAATGCCCTGATGAAGCCATGCCATCACACTATGGTTGCTAGTTTTGCAGGACAAAGAAATCTTTGGCAGGCTATTCAGTTTTAGTGGAGGTGTCGGTAGCTGAGTGTCTGTTGCATGGTTCCCGTATGCGGGGACAGCCGAAGAATAACGGCAAGCTTGATGCTGGGATAACCAGTGTCATACTGTATGTACATCAATATTTACACCATTTGAAAAAGATAGCCCTGAAAGGAAATGTCTGTGCCGTTTTCTCTGCTCCGGAAAAGCTAAACCGACTATGTAAGCTTACAAACACTAAGGAAAAAGTTCAACTCACCAGTGGAAAGAAGCATATAGCTAAGTTTGTTTAATGTTTCCTAGCTGTCATCTTCATATTCCCTCTGTCTTTTCACGTAGTTAACATATATATGGCAGACTGGTAGGTGTTAATGACCACTTGCACGAGCACTGTTACGATGTCAAAAACAATATTCTTTCTGGTGGTTTCCTGGCTATGCATTGTAATACGTGTGCACGCACTCTATTCTTTGACCAGTGTGTCATCTTGGGCCGCAGACGTAACCAGTAGACGCGAGAAATTACTGAATAATACGCTAACGCAAAATTTGCAAAGCTGTGTGTAAGTACACCATTCATAGCCTTATTGAAAGAGAGCTCAAATTTCTGAGGCATGTGCTGTGAAGTGTTGGTGTAGGATTGTTAATTTGATATCAGCTTACAACTAGTTTTTTGGTAACATGTGCTGCGCCACACGTTCACAGATTTGACATGTGTGCAGTGTCTTATGTGCAGCAAGGTGAGCTATATAATGTGCTGTAGGGTCACACAATAAACAAAAAGTTGGAAGTTAGCGCTCATACTGTCTTTGTGTTTTTCTTTTCTTGACCGTATGGCTTCTTTTCTTCATGCTCAAAGTGAGCTGCACTGAAGCAACATATTCTTTACAGTATACTATACCCTAAGAACTATATTAAAGTGAGAATCGTGGGTGGTTCATAAGCAAGAGTTTCACAGCGATATTCGACGGGACTCCAGAGAAGCTACAGTTCGACCTTAAACCGTCATAAAGTATCTGTATTTTACAATACCCGAGGAGAGACAATAGATCAAAATAAAACCTATTGCTAAATCTGGACATTTGATAAAACTGAACAAACTAAGTTGCAACCAGATGTATCAAGAAAAGCTAAATTTTGAATAGTTTATTTTTTTTAGTACCTACATCACACAACAAAAGCGGACACCTTAATTTAGTGAATGAAAGATAGAGAGAGATGGAGATCAGCTCGATGCGAGCAACTCATAAAACTTTAAATGTAATTTCGCGGAGGTAGCACAGTGTTTTAATGAACGCCCCGACACGGTGGTCTAGTGGCTAAGGTACTCGGACCCGCAGGTCGCGGGATCGAATCGCGGCTGCGGCGACTGCATTTTCGATGGAGTCCGTGTAAGTCCATGTGCTCAGATTTGGGTGCATATTAAAGAACTCCAGGTGGTCGAAATTTCCGGAACCCTCCACTACGGCGTCTCTCATAATCATATGGTGGTTTTGGGACGTTAAACCCCACGTATCAATCAATGTTTCATGAACCAGTACAATAAGCGATTCCAATGCTGGAATGCTGTTCCATTTAGTTATGACCTTTAGATGCATTGAACCGCAGCAAATGAACATTTTTCGATGCCTAAGCGAGTAAGGAAAAGATACGAGTCACTCTCAGAACCACATATCACAACTTACCAGTGGTCACGTCGGGCTCCAGGAATGGCCTCTTCGTGTGTCGCCATAGGAGAAAGCCGCGTGCTATCAGAAGAATGTACTGTATAAAATAGTTTACATCAAACAGAACATACAGAACCAGCGCAAGAACAACGTAAATTCCCATTGCAGGTTCAGCGACAGCCAGCGAGTTTTCTTTGCACTATGCTACTTCCTCTTTTAGACGCATAACTACGATTGAGAATTTTTAATGAAGCTGGTTAACTAAACAAATACACCTGAATACTATGCAGATTCATGCACGTCATTTATGCGCGCGTGTCCTGTATTTTTCCTAACAGCCGCAAACTCAAGGCCCGCCGCCATTCATTCGCCCTTGGCAGCTTATAAATAATAGTTGGTACATCGTCTTCGCAACTTTTGCGGTGACGCCGTTAGAGTACGCCCTAATCGATTAATGTGTTCGGCGCGAAAAATTTAAATGTGCAGCAAACTTAAGTTGCAGTTTTTTATGTAATATATTTAAATAATGCAATCGACACTAAAATTACTTGTGATATTTAGACAATTCAACACATATGGACGTTATTTCGTTACAAATAACGCTTTTTTTTCCTGTTCTCTCAGCTTGCACACTCTAAGAGCATCCGCAGAACTTTTTGTAAGGGGTGGGGAGTCGAGAAGGGGGTGGCAGAAGCAGAAGCAGCCTTTCTTTACGTCCTGGTAATGACCGGCAAAATTAGTCATTAGTATTAACGTGCAAAGTCGGCTGGCAATACATAATGCCATTTCATGCATATATGAGGGACTTGAGTGTGAAAATATAGGTGTGTATCGAAAATTCCAGGAGAGGGAGGGGGGGGGGGGGGGGGAGTGCAGCTGCTCAACTTTGCACTTCGCGGTTCATTTCATGCATATGTTATCACACTAACTTGAAGTTACGCGATGAAACATACAAGGATCGAGGTCCAGATGGATCAGGCGAGTTACACGACGACCCCACCACTCACTCGCATCAGCCAGCAAACTGGTCGCGATGTTTTCGGTGTTTTCGTTTTACACACATACATATGTGTGTAAAACACACACACACACACACACACACACACACACACACACACACACACACACACACACACACACACACACACACACACACACACACACACACACACACACACACACACACACACACACACACATATATATATATATATATATATATATATATATATATATATATATATATATATATATATATATATTGAAAGGTTACTCCTCAAATGGGGTGCCTAATGCAGGAATGCAGTCGCAAATGATCGGTGATTTAATTGCAGTCGGCCTGTGAGAACTACAATGCAGCAGGCCTGCGCTAACCCCGAGTCTGCCATGCACATGCAAAAATTCTCCAAAGTGTTATGAGAAACAGCGGCAGCAATCGACGAGTTTTCCCCGTGCACAATAAAGGACGCGGAATACTACGGCTTCGGCTCTCTGAGGCTTTGTATCTCCGCTTACCATAAATTGTTTTAGGTTGCAGCAACAGATGGCGACACGTTGGTGTGGTGCGCTTGAGCACCACATATCGTCATCGCAAAAAGAGCCACGTTTACGGCACCAAGCGACGTACTACAGCACTACAGTACACCGGTGACGGCCAGCGCCGTTCGACGAAAGTTCCACAAAACACGTCTCCAAAAGAAGCCTTACGTTTTTGTACTGTCCTCAAGATGGCGACACAAGTACTTTGAGCCGGGGTTATTCAATCATTTAACTATGGTGGCTACCACACATAATCTAACCCTACTTACTGGTTGTTTTTTTCTTTCCTTCGTGACTTACTCGAAGGCAGCGAGGCTTCATTTATTTGAGGTGCAAACAGCAAAAAATTAATTTCAAAGGGTATGCAGGGAGCAGGGTAATCCATCCTGTCTGAAATTTTCACCACCTGTGAACCAAAAATTATTTAAAGGCTGACTGCATGAGAAAAGCTCGTTACCTAAATGTTTGGCCTTCAAGATAAGTAGTTTATTCAAAAATTATGTCTGGATTTACAAATTTTCTTTTAAAAAACAGTAAAATAATCAACATTTATGTATGGCAAATTTTTTTTTATTGGCATAAAGATCAAGCCTAGTTTGACACATTTTTATTCGTGCTTAAGCTTGCAAATTTCGTCGCCAGGCTTCCGACCATTGCTTCCGAGTTCCGACATCGCCTATGCATCATGGCGGCGCCCAAGCGCGGTGGTCTCGAGAAAGCAGCGGCTGGTGTTTTGACAAGAGCAGTTGAGCATGATCAAGCAACTCGCTACACATCTGCACTGGTGTGCTACCAAGAAGGAATACAGCTGCTCATTGACGCGCTTAAAGGTAAACTAACGATCTCTACCGCAGCAAAAGTGCAGCGGCAAACTTGCTCGTGATTCCACGCAGAAACTTCGGACACTATCAAACGCGATCATCTCAGGAACCGGGTGAAGACGTACATGGAAAGAGCCGAAAAAATTAAAGAACTGGTTCGAAAAGAAAAGGCCGGTAAGTTGCGCGCCGCGGTTGTCCTTCTCAGACGAATGTCAACAGCTTAAGTACGAGCTTTCTACTTTCTACTTGAAGCGGGAACATACCACGAGCAAATCCACATCGAAAGCGGCTCTGTTGGACACAGTTATGACCAAATGTTCGGACATTTACTGGACGACATGGTGACGTCTGTAGAAGTCGACGACCCCTACGTTCGGTCGGTACACCAGGCAAGTTTGTTTTAAATGCATATTTTGGTATCTTCAAAGGATATCGAATGTGTCACAGATGTGCGACGCATTGCCTTTTTTCAGTTAGGTTCAGAACTTTGTTCGTTTGTGCGAGCTACTGAAAAAGAAGTGTCCATGTTTGCGGAATGTCAAGCTAACGACGGGACTTGACCAGGTAAGCCTGCACGTGTTCGTGAAAACGATAATTACTTTAGCGCTTTCATTGTACGAATTCCTTATTCACATTATGCGGCTTTAGTATAGCGTATGCGAAGCTTTGGGGAGTTGAACTTTTGTCTCCACGGCTAATGTATCGTACGCTAACCTTTTGCTGTCGTAAACGATTGGCCAACGAATATACCGCGACATCTTATACACTACGCACTCGGCGAACCATAATGATTGCCTTCGTGCCAGTATATTTGTCGAAGGAACTGATGTGATACTTGCGATTCTTGCATTCTCTCGCCAGCGTGACCAGCAGTCTCAACTTGATAGGTTGTCACAAGTCAAGGCAAGTCTTGCTGACTATGGCATCGTCATGGCTATTGAGTATTCTGAAACCCTGCATGATCGCGAAATAAGGTAAGAGCGTCATTCAGTGTCGCCAAATTTTGAACTCCAATCGGCACGGACTTGCTAAATTTAGCTGTAGAAATTCATTCGTGAAAGTAGAAACTAATCATTGACAGTACCAGTGGCATCATGATGATGGCTTCATCACATTTCATTGCAGTATATAAACGTTTTGGCTACTGTATCACTTTGTGCATTGCTTGATAATAGACCAGTAAAACTTGTTCTTCAGCTGGTTTGTACACATGTACCATTAAGGAAGAATTCAAGACATTTTTTTTTATGTTTGATAGACCATATTAGTTTGGCCTTGTTGGCAGGGCGCTTAAGGTTTTTTTTTTTTTTTTTTGACACTAGGTGCAACTCCCACTGGGGGAGGGGCGAGGTGTTGTGAGCCGCTGTATGAGCAGGAGGGTGATCATAAAGGATTATCTGGAGGAACGAGTGCGGATAGGGCTTTCTGGGGGCACTGGTCAACCCTTAGACAACACATGCTTGGCGCCACATTGTTTTTACTTCGAAGCTTGCCAATATGCTGAATTTTCTGCCAACATCTAGCGAGAAAGGACGAAACAATGTGTGTGATTTGTTCATTCAGGTCTGCTGTCGTCTACTAAGTTCCCCATGTAAACACACTTGCGATTGGTAACTCAGAACTAAACTTTTTCAATCAAATGAAGAAGCATGTGCTTGTGGGTGTAGTTGGTGTTTTTTGTTTAGTATGTCAATACGGTGCACTTGCAGTGGAAATACTGTATGTGTCTAGAGATGTGGTATGACTGCTTTGCTCGTATTCAATATTTTCTGTTGAACTTGCATGCGCTGCAGCAGCATAGAAGAAAAAAATTCCGCCATATCCACGAAGTGAATGATGATGAGTGGGCGAAGCTCCGGAGGTAAACCTGGTAAACCATGAATCCTCTGTACATTTTGCCCACTCGATTTTATTACATCGCTCCCCCTAGCGTACGTCGCCGCACTAAATCGAACGATTGCCTTCAACCAATGACACGCGCCATATGTGACATCATTCCTATTTTATAAGATCTCGCGTCTTTCATCAACTACAAGTACCGCTTTCTAGTTTATAACATCTTACATCTTTTCATCATCAGCTACAAGTACTACCATCTAGTAAACACTACAAGAACTAAACGAGAGGTGGCTACATACAGGAGACGGTACCGCCATCTAGTGAACACTGCAAGAACTAAACTAGAGGTGGCTACATACAGGGGACGGTACCGCCATCTAGTGAACACTGCAAGAACTAAACTAGAGGTGGCTACATACAGGCTACAGGGGACGCACAGCCCACGCCCTAAGGAGCTTCGCCCCTAAAAGTACTGGTTAAATGCCATGCTTATGCTACAAGATGGGCAACTTTATGACGGGAACAGTGGTGTTGGCGGGAGCAGCACGACGTGCAACAATGACTCTTTGGGTAAACTTTGTGTGAATTTAGTCCTGATTTCATCGCTCAGCACTGCTGATGCACTGATCAGTCGACTTTTGTCCGCTGCTCAATTACAACAATGGTACAATGTGCTAATATGTGGTACTTGTAAAAAAAAACTTTCCATAATTAAAGCTGGCTATAAATAAATCAACATAAAAGTTTTCTATGGCATCTAAGCAGTGTAAGAGAGCATGCAAAGACTGCTCATTATCTCTGCACCTTTTAACTCCTCATTTGTGCTATTCAAGATCGATGACATTTCTTATGACAGTTTCAACTCTGTCTCTGTTGTGTTTTCAAACAGGCTAGATACAGGCTGGATTATCAAGATAGGAAGAGGATTGGACTACTTTCGCCCAGTTGCCACCAAATTCAGTCTTGGATTCTTTGACCATGACCTGAGAACTTGTCACGAGACAACCATTGACATCTTTCACAGAAACTATGTTCATACATCGTGAGAGTTCACTCGTTTTCAACATCTGGTCTGTACAAATATATTATTTTTACATTTTGTGCACTTTGTTTGCCTTTGTTTTCTGCAATGTCAGTTTATTAGAGGCTGTGTGGCAGACATCATGTCCTGCAACAAAAAAGGCTCAAGTGAACCAATATAGCTGACACATCACTTCATCTTGGAACACTGCCGTTTTTTATTTCAGTTCATTGTTCAATGCAGACTATTTACACATACATGCACGCACACATAATGACATGGTTCACATATTTATACACATCCGTTGAGCTTCTTGCAGTGCCTATTCCGAGGAGTTCCTCAAGCCTGACCGTCTCACAGTAGCCGCACTCCACGTCACAAGTGTCTATTTTTGCCTGCAAAAAACTTCACACTTATAAGGCACATCTTGTCTTGCAGGAAAAGAACAGTGGAGAACTTCACCTGTGGGGTCGTCACCAAAGAGCACTGTGCACGGCACAACAGCAAAACCTCATTGCACTGACTTCCTAATTGTTTGAGAGACTTTGCGTGTTTGGAAATAATCAATGCAGACAAGCCGGTCATCCCACATGTGTCTCTGTCCAGCTTGCAGCAGTCGGCTGTATAGATGCACAGATCCTTTGGCATAGGGAACTATAATATACAAGTGGTGTCACTGGTATAATAAATAGCCATGTAACAATCAGAATGCAACCTATGTTACTGTGCTCATGGACTTGTGACATGGTTGAACACTGTGCTTCAATATACCTGCTAATAGAGAAATTGATGTCTTTTTCTTATAAATTTCCAAGAAAGGCCAACATCTCGAAATACGTAGTTCAGTAACGGCCTTGCATGTAATTATTCAATCTGTTCATTTCGTTAAGTACTGTGGTAAAATGTGTGGAATAAAAGCTTTCAGGTAATCAAGCTGGAACGTGCCTTGCACCAGATTTATAATTTTGCTAAGACAAATAAACTCGATTTCATCTTCTAGTCACACTCAATGCAACTACATAAAACCTCGGCCTATAGGTAATAAAACAGAAGCACATGATGCTTTGAACACTGACAAATTTAGGTGTTATGAGTACATACTGAATATATAGGCTCTGCCCATAATAATATTTGGGGTTTCGAGGAGCCATAAGCACCATAAGATTATGAGCCGCATAGTTGTTGAGCACTCCAGATGTTTTGGCCATATGGATTGACATTTAACTGTGCATAAGCCTCCAGCATCACTCCTCTGTCTAAATACAACTTTAGAAAGCTTCCTGTATTAGTATAATTGTAATCCTAGGGCTCAATTACTTCAAGTGGCATCCTGCTTGCCCAAGAAATTTAAATAATGGGCTTGCACAAACATGCTAATTAAAATTTTGACCATCTTAGGGAAGATAGTGGAGCCCTATAAATTTTATTTGGCTTGAGCATTTTCAGATTTTCAAGGCATATTCACCTAGGACATATTCCAAGGATGACATTAGTTTCGATATGCTGAATCAAACTAAAATTTATGTTTCACCAGTGACCTTTCAATGAAATGTTTTTCTGTGCTTTTTGATAATTGAAAGCATCAAATTAGAAACATGGTTCTTATTATGCATTTTTAGATGGGACACAGTGAGCTATGCAGGACAAATGTCGACCCTCTTATATTTGAAGTGTGTGAATTCAGAAGCAGTATGTAATTGTGATTCTGCTTATTGATAAGCCTTTTTTTCTCATGAGGCAGACTAGGGCAAATAGTTCTGCCTGACTAGCTTCGTTTGGCACTTGAACAAAGCATAACACTTAGTATTTTTTTTTTTCAAGTGTTTTTTTTTTTACCAAGCATCTTATTGCCACAAGCGTGGTGACTTTGGAATTGTGAAAGTGCAATTTTCTTATTTACTGTAGTGGCATTGACAGTTTGACGTGCAGAAATAATGAAACGGCCAACTGGCCGATGCTAAATATTTTTCATTACACAGTGTGAACTGCGATGCGGACACAATACTATGGTGGCGTGCAATTGAATGAGAGGTTGCTTATCATTATCTGGCTATGGTGACCACATCACAATAAAAGAGGAACATTAAAATACTTGTTTAATGACATTGGTGGCCAGATAAAGCCGAAAGATGTGACACTGTTATGTTCCGAATGACACAGTCTAATTCTAATGAGTGGCCATAAAGTATGTGGTTGCATGTGATAATATCTTCTATTTTTCTCGAGAAGCAGGCTTGGGAAGCACAGTCCAGCCACGCCAGAATCTCATGTCAAGATGAAACATCTTTGCTTGCAGGTGTACACCAGACACCCTTTGAGATGCGAGTGTAACATCCTGTCGCTGTACAAAAATGAGTGAAATCCACTTGTTTCTTCAACTTTTGGTGAAGATGAGTCACCATTCTTCTTGATTGGAACTGCCACGGTGCTTTAAACTCTGCAACTAGTCAACCACTGTGAAAGTAAATGAGGCTAAACTAGTTATCCGCCCCACATGGCACGACCCGTGTACGTGTAAAATGAGAACAGTGGTGTGAGGGACGGTCACAACTGACAATACACCCACATCCTTAATGGCGGCATCAGCTCCGTGCAAACACAATGCGATACTATGTGTTGGTGTGTGACGAGTCGCATGGTGGTGGGAACAGAAATAACACATCTTCACATTGGGGTGTTACATTCAAAATGAAACACGCACGAACAAATGCCAACTACAATGAAGGAACAAATGCAGAGGGGAGTGTTCATTTTCCACCCTTGGCTGCGAAAAGTTAAGTGTCTAACGCCGCATCACATCACCTTCTATGAGTGCACACAGAATAATTGGACTTGCGAAAAGGTGCGCAAACATTTCATGGCTGACACCCATGATGATTTAGACTGTTTTCAGAGTTTACAGTGTTGCAATGCGGGCTTGTTGGAATGTGATCTTGGAGTTCCAGTGTAATGCACACAAGCAAAAACAAAGGAGATGTGAATCCTGCATAAATAGTTCTGTGTCTGTGTGGCCATGCATTTTCCAGTGACACTGCCTGTATTTGCTAGACTAGTATTACCTGGGGCTCCATTGTGGCAACTGTGAAAATTGAAACCAAATCTTAGTTACATAGTCTGTCTCTTATGATAGGATAAGAGTACCTGTCGTTAATGCTTGAGCGCATTGAAACATGTACACAATTGGTAATTTTTTCTTCCTTGTTACTGGGAATACTTCAGTATAGATTACTTTAGATCCCCAATATTACCAAATATAATGGGTTACTCCTCCAAGAAGCTAATGATCAGCTGAGTTGACTCTAGGTCACCTGCGTCATCATTTCCTGATGGCCTGTGCTAATCATATAGCACAGCAGCTTTACGAGCATGCTCCACAAAAGTGAAGTCGCCGATATGGCCATTCAGCAAGAGTCTTGCTTTTAAAAGAAGTCTGAGTGTACTGAAGCTGTGATTCTCTCTCAGTAGCAAGGGATATCCTGTGAACCATTTGTCATGGACAAGCAACAATCAATGGGTGTTGGCCATGAGACAGCAAAGCACCATTTCGTGTTCTGGAGTGATTAGTGTGCATCGTCCTGTTTGTGAAAAGACGCTGCGTCGGGGCACTCTGACTAGACCTCGGTGCCGTCCGCCGGCGCCTCGGGTATGCTGGGCGGGTAGCAGCTCTGGGGCGTGCCAGCCGCGGCGCGGTAGTATGCCGACGGGTGGTCGTACGGCGTCCATCGCGGTGACGGCGGGGGCTGGGCGGCGCCGCCGATCTGGTCGATGAGGTCGGGCCCGCGGGGCTCCAGGTCTCGCACACGCAGCGTCTCGAGGCCCGCATACGGCTCGATAGGACTCTGGGCATCGGGTCGCTCTACCAGGGGCCGCCGGTCGCCCTTGGTGCGCCGAAGCGTGTCTGTCAGCTCACCGTGCAGGCGCGCATGCAGGTCGTCCGTGGGCACGACGGGCATGGGCACGGGGATCGGACTGCGGGCCAAGGAGCGCCGGTCAATGGTGCCTGCGCGAGAAGGAATGGACGAGAGCACCGACTCGTCCGTCGAGTAATCGTGCTCTTTGACCACCCAGACGCCCGAAGAGGACTCGACACAGAGGCCCGGGTCCAGAGGCTCCAGCTCCGACGGCAGACCCTGGTAGCTGTTGGTCATGAGCAGGCGCGGCGGCTTCTGGATCGGGTTCACCAGCAGCTTGACGTCAGCCGCGTCGCCAGTTGCCGGCTGCGACTGCTGCTGCTGCTTGTCGTTGTGCAGCGTCTTGTGATTGCTATTGGCCTCCGTGCGTTTGGACTTGCGTGAGCCCGGTGGCACCCCTCGGCGGCGGCCTCGCCGGCGGCACAGCCACAGCGTGAGGCCGAATACAAGCAGCACGGCGAAGGCGCCAACCAAAATGCCGATGACCATGCCCAGCACGGGGTTCTCGGTGTACGAGCGCTGTTGCAGCTCGGTCGACTCACGCGCCTGCTCCGTCATCTCCACCTCGGCCGTCGAGCCCCCGGCAGACGCACGAACTTCTGTCGGGCGTCGGTTCACAGCGAGCGTGAAGTTTCTCACGACGCGGCCGGCCGCGTTCTGCGCGGCGCACGCGTACGGGCCCGCCAACGGCTCCGTCACGAAGCTGAGCGTGAGCCAGGAGAGACGCTCGCGGTCGCCGGCGTCCTGGGTGAGAACGAACGCCTGGCCCGGCTCGCTCTGGTTGGTCAGCGGCTTGTCCTTCCAAAGCCAAGAAATGTGCGCCGCAGGGTCAGCGCGCACGCGGCACTCGAGCGTCACGTTGTTATTCTCTTGCACCACGATCGCGTCCATCGTGCTCGTACTCGTGTTGAGGAATGCCGGGGGGCAGGCCATATCCTCGCTGGACAGGCTCTTCCACGGCCTGCCGCTTAACCGAAGCGGCTTGTGACAAGTGGGTGAGTAGAGAGAGATATTGTTCCTCTCGAGCCACATGCGGAACGCCCGAAGTTCGCAGTCGCAGCGCCACTGGTTGCCATCTAGGGCAATCTCGTGTAAAGACGGGAACGGTGCCATGGCTCTGCCCGGCAGAGTCTCGAGCAGGTTGTGGTCCAGCTTGAGCACTCGCAGCTTGGACAGTCCTTCGAATGCGCGAACAGAAATGGACTCCAAGCGGCACTCAGTAAGCTCCAAGTGGGCTAGTTCCGCCAGTTCTGCGAAAGCCATGTCCGCCAGAGCTGTGATGGGGTTTCGATTGATGTAGAGTGTCCTCAGGTTGCGCGTGCTGCTTAGCGCCGCAGTCGGCACAACAGTCAGCTTGTTGTCCGACAGGTCGAGCTCGATGAGGTTGGTCACTTTGAATAGCGCGGAGTCGTCGATGTGGCTTAGCTCGCAGCGGGACAGGTATAACTTCTGGACGTTGACGAGTCCCGCGCTGAGGAAAGCGCGCTTTGGCAGCGTCTGGATTAGGTTGTGGGTCAGGTTGAGCACTTGTAGGCTTTCGTCCATGCCCGAGGGCAGCGCCGTGAGCTCCTGGAGCGCACACTCGCCGTACTGCTTGCCGTTGCGCCAGATGCACTTGCAGCGGTCGCTGCACGCGAAGCATTGGACGCGCGGTGGCAGCTGAGACAGTGCCACGACGAACCACAGCAGCTGCAGACCGGAAGGCATGGCGGCACGGCCGCGCGCTGCACGGCGCTTCATAGATGCGCACTGGTGGTCAGCGGGCCGCCGCTCCTCCGGTAGTCGTCGTCATAACCGACGTGCGTCGCTCTGATTACCTGCACCAGGATAAAGATAACAGAATATTAGCAAAGTCGGCAACTTCTCGCGATACTCTGTGCGACAACCCCTGACGACGCCACTCGCTAGTTGAGAGCAATTGAAAATGGAAGCTATAGGACAAGTTGGGGTGGCCTTAGTGTAGGACTATAATCTGTAGTGCGGCGTAGTTCCTAAAGTGACGTATTGAAGTCGGTAAGCGCATCAAGACGAGGACAACGAAAACGAACACACAGATCACCGAGGTTAAGTTCAGTTTCTTCATTCAAAATACAAAGTTCGCAGTTGAAAATATGCAGACGAGGGTCCCAAAGTCGGGCGACTGCAGTGGCACCCTCGGTTAACAACAGCAATAAAATGATTAATTATAACAGCATGTACACAACGCAAATAGAAGAGAACAGTGGAAGCACCAGAAAACTACAACGAATAAGCAAAAAAAAAAAAAAACGCTCACTTTGGTCTGCTAGCTTTCCTTGTGCATGTCTTGGTACGATTGCCGGTTTCAATATCGCAGTGTACGTGTGAGCTGAGCTTTCCCGGAAGACTGCAGTAATAAATCGAAATCGCAGCCGTGGAACATTAGCACAAGTAAGGACATTGTGAGCATCCCGGCGAAACGAACCATTCATCACTCATCCCTGCTATCACGTCAGGTGATAACGCATTGTAAATATTGTGGGGTTAGAATGATTCTTGAAAACAATGTCTAATGTCTTCCTAACGCTTTTCCTCGCGCACGTTGTATTGGGTTATGACGATGTCCTATTTGTGACGAATGATATGAGGCGCCCCCGACTTAAGACAGATTTATCAGCGCAAAAAAAAAAAAGACAACTGTTAAAGAAGAAACACACAAACAAACAGCGCTGTGTGTGTGTTTCTTCTCTAAAAGTTCCGTCTTTTTTGGGCTGATAAATCTGTCTAAATAAACATGAACCAATTCACCCAAGCAGCAGTTTTCGCGATCCCGAACTGAGCGTCGTTTAACAGTTTTTCACAAAGTCGCCCGAGTTCAAGTGCCGCATTCACTTGTATACTACTAGGACTCGACACCACTAACGTTGACTATCTCCTGTACACCAGCATTGTTTTCATTCAAAATAGAATAATTGGAAGCGCGAACCAACGGGACACAAGAGAAGAGACAAACAAGCACAGACTGAAACTCAGTTTATTCAGAGAAGAAATTATACCGGTATACCAGAAAGAAGAGAACGGGAAACAACTGGGGAGAAGGTTCCACCTTGATCAGGTGTCGTCCAGAAATGATATTTCACAATCTAACAGTGATATAGACGGTGAACTAACACAACTATCAATATTCGTTTTAATAAAAAGGCTTCCGCAATCTCTCTAGTGTTCATGTCATGATGGCTGTGTAAGACAGATGTGCGCGAAAATTCAGGTACGCAGCCACACTTTTTGCAATTGGCGGACAAATGTAAACCCGGGGCTGATTTCAGCGCATTGTAGTGTTCTCGCAGGCGAATATTCAAGCAGCGCCCAGTCTGCCCAATGTATAACCTGCCGCAAGACAGTGGGATACAATAAACGACATTAGATCGACAATTGGTGAAGGAATTGACATGCTTGACACCACAACCTTTCTTCACAAGACCTGCCTTCATCCTGCTTTGTAATTCAATTCTAGAACACACTTGCTGCAGTTTTCCACGTGCGGAAAACACAACGTCGAGGTTGATTTTTTTGTACATTTTTTTATCTTATGCGAAAAATCGTGCACATATGGGAATACCGCAAACTTACGTCGTTTATCCGCCTCCTTTAAGGGGCATCCCTTCCATTTCTTCATACGCAGTACCTTCTTCATTAAATTCATTCAATCAATTTAATTTTCATGCAGTGATGAAGTAGTGCATCAATTTTTTTCGATAGGTGATGTGCACTAGTGACCAAACAGTGCGTTTAGCACAGAATGCTCACTGCTACGCTGCTTTGTAAAGTCAGACGTATACCGCTTTCCTCCCTGCGCTGCTGGCTATCCACCGTAAACAAAGGGCAGTGACGGGAGCAACGCGCTTTCAGGAAGTAGCGAAGAGGTAGGAGAAGAAAAAAACAAACAAAGAAAACATCGATGGAAGGCACCCTCCAGGCGTCTTCTTCTGCAAGCAATGCCCAGTCAAGGAGCAAAAAGCCTGAGATCTTCCGAGGTGGGGTTGTAAAAAGCACTCGTCTCGTCAGCGATCCCTGATGGCAAAATCAATGTGACCGCTGCAGACCGCCCTCGCCTGCGTGGCTCGGGCGAAGCGCGAGGTCTTCGTTTGGGCCCAAGTCCCGAAGCTAAAGTGCACGCGGGCTCCTTTGGCATCCAACATTCACGCCGTCATCGAACGGATCCGCTCGCTCCACGCATATCGGCCCTAATCTCAGCCCGACCAGCGATAAACGGAACGCTATCTTTGACGGCCGTGTGTGAATGTCTTTGCGCTCAAATCCCGTCGAACTGTTTCTCCATGCAGCGTAGAAAAATGTAGTAAAGAAAAGAAAAATTGCGACAACACCAAGCGAGAACACAACTTGTTCAGCATGGCGCGCAGCTTTGATTTCGTCGGACTTCTGTAGCGGTCGGTTGTTATAGGCACATCTTGCCTCCTCTCGCTCGTCTATCCCCCTCCCTCAACCTTTCCCATCTGCGCCACATTCTCTTACAGTCGTATCACTCTGCGATCCCGGAGAAAAACTTTGCTTCCCTCTCTTCCCTGTTCTCCGTCCAGGAGTGGCGCAAGATTGCCGACTATGTACGCTGTACTTCGTCGCGCACAGAGTGGTTGTTTTGTGTGAGCCAATCTATATACACAGCGCCCTCCTTTTGATTCTTCTCCCATTTAGAACGGAGCTGTCATTGAATTTGCGCCTCTTGCTCTCCCATCACGTCCTCCACAGTATTCTTCTACAATCGGGTTGAGTTTATTTCTCGAAGGTGCCCGATAACTCCCCCCCCCCCCCCCTTCCCGAACGGCCTCTCCCGAATTTTATCTTCCCCTGCCCGAATATCCTGCCTTTCGTGCGGCGCTATCAGCTCCATCCATTTGTCAATGGATACCGAAGGCGGCGATTTTTCTTCAGTCCTCGCGCATATCGCTAGCTGATGCGCTTTGTCCACTGCCGCATGGTGCCTTCCCCTTACATTATTTTTCCTCCAACCAGCATAAACCGCCTCTGCCACGTTTTCTCGCTTTTGTGCTGTCACTATTTGTGTTTCCCTCTCGGTTTGTCCTCCAGGTCAGGAATAAAGAAAAAAGAAGTGTGCAAGTGTAAGAAGAGGGAGAGAGAAGGCTTTACAGCTGCATCGGGGCGCACCCCAGCTTTTGATCTTTAAGAACGGCGAATTCGATTTGAACCCCGTCCGGCAAAGAGGCGCGCACGGACACTCCCGTGTGAAAATTAATTCTTTGGGGAAACACGTAAAGTGGCCAGGCTTATGTTTTGACCTCGCCTCGCCGCCGCCATCGCTGTGCTGCGCTGCAGTTACTTTGTTTTCATCGATTCAGACGTTCGCTCTAACTTTATTCAAGCATAAAACCAAACAACGTAGCCAAGGCAGAAAACAGCTGCTAAAGAAAGAAAGAAAGAAAGATAAAAAGAAAGGATGCCACACTATCTTGATTGATTTGTGGGGTTTAACGTCCCAAAACCACCATATGATTATGAGAGACGCCGTAGTGGAGGACTCCGGACATTTTGACCACCTGGGGATCTTTAACGTGCACCCAAATCTCAGCACACGGGCCTACAGCATTTTCGTTCCCATCGAAAATGCAACCGCCGCAGTCGGGATTCGATCCCGTGACATTTCCGCCTCCATCGGGATGCCACACTATCTTATCCTTCATGAAACATTGCACTGTTAGGCCAGATTCTTCATTGACGGTGAAGGGGCATATTTCGAACGGTTCTGAAGTCTCAGAAATTAAGCATATTTAGTCTGACCAGATAAATATATATATACAAAAGAAAAGCTTACTGTAGTTCAGGCAATGACATTAATAAGTATTTCATTTGTCTAACTAATGAAACACAGTTTGAATAACGTAACCAAAGGTGACTGTAATCGACATGACCAAGAATAAGGGTTCGACACACTAGGTGTCAAGAATTCAAAAACAACAAATACGTTGGAATACAAACAATTAGTAATAGTTTTGAATTATCACCGGTAGGATATTGGTAATCCTTATAACTTGCAATCTTTAGCTCCCGTAACTCATTTGCGTACATGAAAAAAATAAGTTTATCGGGATGAAGATAAAAATTGGCAAATCAGACGTACACTGAAAATCCACGATATGCGAAGCATGAATGAGGAAGGTTGATATGTCACTTTAAAATCAGCACAGCGTGACGAGGCGGACGTAAGTCATGCCGTACAGCACTTCCATGTCATGATTATCATGTTTGCATTTGGCAATCGTGTTCGTCGTCTGTTTACGTCACGTGATACCGACTTTGGTGTATGTGGAGATAGGGAAACGGCGCTAGCGCGATATGAGCGCAGTATGTAGTCACGTTTTAAATGATACGCATATCATGACATGATTATCATGTTTGGACGTGTCATTTACCTTCGTCATTCATTCACGTCACATAATTCCCAATTTGGCATATGTGAAGCTAGCGAAACGGCGGCGAGTGAATCATGAGAGTGGTATGTTGTCATGTTCTTACATAACATGCATATTATGATTATCATGTTTGCGTCTAGCATTCGTGGTCGTCGTCTATTCACGTCACGTGATACCAACTTTGGTATATGTGAAGCTAGGGAAACGGCGCTAGCGCGATATGAGCGTAGCACGTAGTCATGTTTTGTACGGCATGCATGTCATGATTATCGTGTTTGGACGTGTCATTTACCTTCGTGGTCCGTTCGCCTCCCGTAATACCAACTTTGATATAAGTGAAGCTAGCGAAACCATCACGAGCGTACCGTGAGCGCTGCGTGTAGTCATCACTTGCATGACATAAATGTCATGAT